GAGGAGTGATATTTTGAAATATAGTATTTATAATCATACAGTTGTAAAATAATTAACTAACTATGTAAGATGTTGGGATTTACTCTAACCTATATTAGGACAGTGTTTTTATGCTCTCATTCACTCACTCATCTCTCGCTCTCTGGCTCCTACTCTATCAGCTGACAGTGGGCGATTTTGCCACGGCCTCCCTCAGCCAATCATATATTTTCTGTCAAACTTTAAAGACCTGTTCTCTTCTGTGCAGTCAGCTGTCATTTCAGTACAAACCGATGTGACCCTCCTCCCCATTCATCATCACATCCGGTGCTCAAGGTTTCTTCCACTGAGGGCAGTCCCACTCAAACATGCCATCATCTAGATCTTCAGCCTGCCCCTACTGTCTTCAACAACTCCACCAGTGTCGACTCTCCAAAATGTTTACTTTACTTTGCACAATTTAATAAATGTATTTGTTCACTGTAAATTAAGTTTCTCCTGATTTAACAACCTGTGTCTCCCTGTATAAGTGTGTCAATTATCTCCCAGTGGCTTCAGTTCTATTTATTATGTTTTTTGTGATGTATGTCATGTTATTTCAAACTAATTTGCAATCATAAGAAGCGTGGTCTTCGTTGGTGAAATGTTTCTTATATACAAAGAACAATTACTTATCGTAAAACTCCAAAAATATAGTAGAGTAAAAACTTTTCGGTGTGTTTTCTAGAAACTACAGGTCTGATGAGGAAAGTGGGAACAGGTGTGTAGGTGGGAGGGGATGTCATGTGACCAGGACTGGCAGGTCTGGGAGTGAGCAGGGGCTGGAGAGAAGGACAGAGAGCCAGGACAGGCAAAACCACCAACCCACTACAAAGTCTCTGCCCTCCCTCGAACTTCTCAGACAGTTTAGAGAGATAGCCAGTTCCCCAGCCAGTCACTGTAGTCATTATGCAGAATGGTCCAGTCTGTAGTACCATTAAATGTCAGCCGTAATTTAGTCAGGCTCGTGAAATGTCACCCTCTCTCTACAACTTTTATGAATCGCATGACAAAGGGCAGTTGTACAGACGGTTCTACACTATTCAAACACAGACCTACGCCTGCTCAGTGATTCAACCAGGAGGGGAGTGCGTGATTCGTCCAGCCACAGTGTGTCAGGGTAAAAATCAAAGGATGGATGTCTGTTGTCTGGCTGACAGTTTCTAGAGAAAGACGGATTCCTGGTAAACCGACAGGATCAGGACATCTGAGAGACAGACGGCTTCCTCCTCCAACCCTTCCACATCTTCCTCAGCTTCTTTGAGCTGTACGACACCGTCTTCCACAAGCCTGGGGAGGAAGAAACAGTTAACTGAATATTAGAAGAACATTATTTCTGCACTCAAACAGTAGTTAATACACAGTGGAAGGTTTAAGAACTAGTTTATCCAAAGACATGCACAACGCGTACAGGCCATGAAATATGTTAATTGGCCGTGCAGTTACCATACAGAGAGTGGTATCAATCTTCCTCTGTACCTCTTGGCAAAAACAGGATAATGTATGAGCGCCAAATCAGCATTTACTAACAAAACCTGACAGTGAAGAATGTAGGATTTTTCCCCAAATATACAATGAAGAAACAAAGAGTGCCTACCTGCTGTAGCAATGCCTTTGATACTCTGTGTTATACTGGAGGATTTCACAATAGATGAAATACCTGAGGAGGAACAAAAACATGCGCAAACATGCAATTATACAACAGCTAACATCTCATCACTCTGAAATATGATTTTGTGATATGCTACTTGTGGACACAATTACAAAAAAATAAATAATTGCCATTTACAAGCTGTGCTACATGTTTGATTTTGATGAACCGATGGGTCGTCTTTTGACAATATGGTATAATATATTCCTAACATTACTCATTTGCTGCATAATTCTACCATCATTATTATTCACCCTACACAACGTCAGCCGTGATCTGTAAAACCAACGTGCTCTTTATTTCAGATCGCACTGAGTGAATTTTAATGAATGAATTTGAATGAGAGTGATGACTTTTCCTGTCCTCCATCACTGAACCCGCCCGTTAGTCCGAACCTTGTTGAACGACAGCTCCACAGTCTGGGTCCTGAGCGACCTGCAGCAGAATCTCCTCCACGTCTCGGTTTTTCCCCGGAGGATCGACCAGCTTTGTGATCCTCTGCTGGAGGGTCCGGGGCAACGCCATCAGCTGGATGAACTGGCCCTCTGGGCTTTTGTCCACCTGCAGGCGCACAAAGGAGAATAAATGAACAGCGATGCCTAGAGTAGGCTGAGCAGCACTATCGCATCCACAGGTCTCATGTGACACTAATGTAGTCCAATAAACAGAGTGCATTGTTGTTAGGAGCCTGTATAAATCTATCTCAAGATAATACAACTATGATGTGTAGAAGAAAGTATTGGAGTGGGTGAAACTATATTGACTTTAAACAGTCAACATTTAAAAACACTAATTACAGCCTCGCAACGACTAAGTTGGAAACTTCTTGTCGCTGTACGAAGGAGCTGGTTCGTGCATGTGGGACTTCTACCGCACAGTCTAACGACGTACAAGGGCGCAAGTGTATTTCCCATATGCAACACTAACGGCGCACAATTCCCCCAAAGCACTGTTCACTGCAAAGTGTGTCACTCACACACATAAAAACCCTCCGAACCACTTATTCCTGTTATTCCAGGATGGTGTGACGAGTGTTTCCTTGGTATAATAACAGGAAGTGGTGGAGACATTTAATAGTAGTAATAATACAAAAAGAAGATGAACAACCTTACCACAGTAAACATGAAAGAGGATTATATATTAAACCATTAAATATGCAAACAGAGACACATGTTGAGTCGATAATGTATTAAAGCAGGTAACAGTGCCAGGTCAGTCACACCCCATCTAAGGTTTACTACCAAGGCTGTGAGCACACTGTGTGCTCCTCAGGCCAAAGCTGTGCTCCTGTTACTTTAAACATGTGTTTGCCAGTTTCACTGACAAGGCACGACACATGGAACATCTTTTTTCAAAGGCAGTACAAGACACGCATTTTAAGGCAGTTATGGTAATCGGTAAGTTTTTTTTTTTACATTTCTGTCACCATTTTTCATGAAAGAGCTTCAAGGTATTACATTCATAATTACAGATGTATTTGGCCAAGGTAGAAGTAGAGTACACCTTTATACCGCAGACGCCTTGTAGATCCACAAACTTTGCTTAAGAGGACTGAAACATCAAGAGCGATTTCTCACATTGATACCCATGGATTTTTTGAGAGACACAGGTAAATGACACATGAGTGACAAGGAAAAACTGTATATACAGCACACAGTGCGCTCTAGTGTTGCTCACACATCAAGTAAGACAATACAATTGTGTCGTGTTTGGAGCATTTAAGTGTATACCTCCAGCTTTCCGTGTTGAGGTTTGTAGACCACTTGAGGGCAGTCCTGCAGGAGGTTGCTGTACAGAATCCGGAAGTGCTGAATGTTGTCCTTGACGAGATTGGCCACCTTAGATTTATCTTCTCCGATCACCATTCGAAAATCCCCTGAAGAGGCACAGACGCAATGTTTTCCCTGAAGCGTATTATATTTGCTTTACAGTTTTTCATCTTTGCTGTAGTAAGATGAGATGATTCACGCTTTTATTGATCCCAAGAGAGGAAAATCCAGGTGTTGCAGTAGCACAAGGACATAAATAGGACTCAGTATTACACACCAAGATATTAAACTCCTTCTGGTGTTCAGTTCCCAGTGCAAAATGTGATACAACACTCATTAGCACATTATTCATGACCATCTGCTTCTGTAGGGAACCTACATAGCAACACTCCCCTTGTTTAATAGCACATTGTTAGCAGGAAAACATTTGTTGGGTTTAACATGAATTCAGTATGTGTAATTAGGAGAAAAAGGGGAATTATTTTCATATCTAAACCTACAACTCATCTCGGTGCAATTACTACAACTGATTCAGTACATTTGTGTCCAAGCATGCGTGCATCTTATATACGTGTACCGTGTTTATTCTTCATCTGGCTTTTAGAGTTGTGTGGGTGAGTTACCGGCATAAGAAAGACCAGCTATCTGCAGGAAGAGGTCTTCCTCGGTGAAGCTCTCCGGCAACATGAGGAAGGAGGCCGTCACAGCACTCTTCAGGTTGGCCACCAGAGCAGCTCGGAGCTTTCCATTCTCATTCTGCAGCAGCATCTTCACCTGCGTGGGAACACACATGAACACACACAAGCATGAATGTGTACATTTGTGCAACCTGAAGATTAAACTGAATAGGTAGTCCATTTTTAAAGAATCCCAAGACTGTGCAACAAGACTGTCCTGTAGTCTTTTAGAAAAATAAATAATGCATTCCACTGTTTCAACCTATCTTAAATAACTTTGTAATGGAGAGTGTGTCCAATAGATGATTGTACAATAAAATAATCAGCTCAGTTTTTTCTGATTGATCCAAAAATAGTTATTCATGAGACTTACTGGTTTGTGAAGGCGTCCAGCAACATAAATGGTCTTCCAGTGCATCAGGTCATCTATGACAGACTCTGTACTGATCACACCATATTTGATTATCTGAGAAGAATAGGAGGTCATTAAAGTGTGTAGTTAATCAAGTGTAGTCAGACAAAAACAATAAAATAATCTTAGCCAGAGATGTAGTGAATTACTGCTACCCAAACATTTTATGATGTTAAGACAATGTCTGTCCAGCCTCAAACTCAGCAGCTATCGGTACATTACGTCTGCTAATAATGATACTATTGTTTGAAACAAAAAGTCAGACAATTAACAAAAATGAATGCGAGAAGCAAATACAGCGTGAGGAACTATGACTGCCTGAGAAAAACACGAGGAGACTTGAGTATAAATGTAAGTACCTTTCCATCCACAGGCACCAGTGTGTTGTAGTATACAAAGGCCCCGTGTTCACTTTGTACGGAGCTGATCGCAGTGGGGCCCAGCAGCTTGAGGATGGAGTAGTGTTTGCGATTCTGCAGCAGATTCATGGTGTGCCACGTCACCGGGTCGTCCACCGCGAACACAAAGTCTAGCATGTTCTTCTGTATACGACAAAAAGGTAAACAAAACACAAGAACATTACACTTTCTTATCCAATGAGACAGGATACAGCTTCACATTCTAACATTGAACACTGTTGTTTATTAACTTCTATTAGGTTCTTATTGTGATGATATTGTGAGTTATGTTGTCCAAATTATTGAAACTGAGGAAATTGTAATTCAAAATGACATCACAAAATATTATTGATTGTCTTATAGTTACACTCGTGAAGAGAGTTTTGTCTGACGTAATACATAACAGAGGAGCACAGCTGATGGCACTGAAAACATTTGGATCATTTCACGTTACATTTTTGTGACAGATACTTTGGGAACGTTAGTCTGATACTTGACAACCAACAATGTCACTGTGCCGATGTAGTAACGTTAGAGTTAGTTTACAGTGCACGTTTGTCACGAGCAGAGTTTGTAAACTAGCAGGTCCACGTACCTCCATTTGACCTTGGTCGGTCCCGTGTTGTTTAAAAACGCCAGAGCCATAGGCAAAAGCTAGACTGATGTCCTGAGGAAACTGTGATAAAATCCGCCTGTACAGCACGCCGGTGCTGTGCAAAGCTGGAAGAGTCATTTTGAAATAAGTTAGCTATGATAGCTTTCCAGCAGCAACACGAGCTGGTTTATAAGCGAAATATCGGAATAAACAATGTGTAAAGCGACGTTTCTGCAGCATAAAGTGAAAGACACATTTCAGACTGAGAGGCTCTGCGCCACTAAATGCGACAACTGCCACGGAATAGCACTACAATTGAGAGTTTTTTGCGTTTAAATGCGTCCACCAGGTCAGTTTGGGTCGCTCTGCACTTGACAGTCGATTTAAATGTGCGTCACGGAGTGCGCTGCGGGCTAGAGGCTCATGGGAAATGGAGTCAGAAATGGAATTTAAGAAAAAAAGAGACGTTACACTGTCGTTAAACAGCCAAAAATAACGACTATTCTGTGAGTTATTTTGGACGTAGCTTCGTCTATGATTTCATACAGTCGTAAAATGTAAACCGGGCAACACATGGCAGTGTTTTAGTATATTTAAGTAGCTCTAAAGTTAGCCAGCAGAGGGGGTTTTCGACCAAGTTCAGCTAGTGTCAGCTGTTAAGGGTCAATATGCTAAAGGTGATTTGTATGGATAGTTGTGTACAGTGAAAATGGAAATAATTTTAAAAAATGTATTACACAAAGTCATTTAAAGCCCTGTACATTTCCTTCATTCTGAAAAATATTTTTTCCCATCTCTTTTGACTTAATGTATTTATCTTTCTGAAGTTAATTATATAATTTTGAGAGACTGATATGATGAGCTTATGTTTAAATAAGCGCTAGTGTCTGAAGTTCCTTTCACAAAGCATAGTAGCTACATGTGAAGTGCTAAACTGAACAATCATAAAAGTCCCTTTTTCTTTGTTTTGTATTTGAGAAAGAATATAATTGACACAGTATATACCAGGAAAGGTCATTTAATTAGATTCGTTTTCTCTATTCTCAAGTTTCATTTTCCGTGGTGTTTGAATTTTGTATTACATTACACATGTTGTCAAAAAAATCTATGACAATTTAATGATCCTGACATGATAATACTGATTGCTCCTGACGGGATCCAGACTTTTATATTTGGCAGTGGAGTTTGGGGCTTGAACTCTTGGAGATAATAAATACAAACTGAGAAAACAAATGACAGCAAATACTACATTTAAACCAACTTGAAATCAAAAGACACCAAGCGCATCTGTGAAACGTAGAATTAATCTTGACTGTGATAAGTACTGTATCAGTCAAATCCAAACAGCTTCTGAGGCCATCATCATTCTTGTCTCTGGTCTTATGGGCCCAAAGCTCACATCTATTGGAATGAATTAATATTGAATTTAGAGTGATGACGATCAACGATATGTCTGGAGCTCATTATGGGATTGTCAAGGGTTGGACAAATACTATCTTCCTAGTAATTTATGTAAACCATCCTCTCAGCCAAATGAATATTGATAAGGTCACTGAATCCTGACTAACAGGCTCACTCATTCTGTGAAAGTGTCTTAATTCAGGGAAAGTGAAGCACCATTAGGAATAAAAACTACATTAATTCTATACTACATCATGTTCCTGTTGAATTCATTCTTGACCCTATACTTAAGTCCATATTTGCTTTCTGCTAACCTCCAGTTAAGCGCACAGTTGGATGATGATCATCAATGAGCAACACTTGTCACATGACACATAGTATTTTTTTTTCCATTGTTAATGTTAAAAATACGAAAAAAATATCTGGCCCTTTGGCTGCTAAATGCTCCACTGTGTTCACCAGCTAGTCGCTAACTTAGTCTGGCTGTTTGCTGTTGAGCAGGTGGTGTACAGTCTTTCTTTGAGGACAGTTTTCACTGAAAGATGTGGCCTGATGTGACCAAAACAGCGCTATGAGGGTGGTAAGTGTGAACCCAAATATAGCTGTTGTAGCCAAAGAGCTGACAGTTGCTATAAAGACAAGGGGAGCTGCAGATTTGTGTGATAATTGGCTGTAGGTGCATCAGTACGAGAGACCCCTTTCACATTGCCGATGATTGCCGATCATTGTTGTTCATTGTTGATCGTTTCCGATTGTTGCCGATCGTTGCCGATCTTTGCTGATATATATATATATATATATATATAACAGCATGTGGGGAAAAAAAACAACCAAAAATATCTTCGAATTGTAGCCAAAGGAGAAGAAGAAGAAGAAGAAGGATACACATTTCTACTGATTTCTGAGCTTTTTTAGTCTTTAAAGCAGAATCCACCACTCGTTTACTTCTGTAAAGTTAGATAAGCGACAGCAAACTGGTTGCAAGCAAGTGGACCAGAACAAAGGCTTGTAAATATAGAGAGCTTACACTCACACCTCAGTCTCTTCTCACAGTGTGTGTGTGGGCCAGTGTGAAAACGAAACCTGAAGAGAAGGTTGTCTTTGTAACTCCTTGTTTGGAACCAAAACAATTCATTAAACTGAATCAATATTTGTGGTGTTTGCAGGTTGATTTTTTAATTTGAAATAATTCGACAGATGTTTCTACACCGAGGATCAGTCACATGATCTGCAGCTCACAGTACCTTTCCTTGAGTTTGAGTGAACACTTCATTTCAATGTCAGCAGCTTTAATGGTTCAGCAAATACTCAGACTGCAGTCTAATGCTGCTGGTATTACATAAACATCAAGTCAGTCACTTAGTTCAGCATGAATATTATAATTAAACTACAAGAAGAAGAATACAGATTATAGTGAATAGTGCAAATGCTCCCGGGCAATTTAAAGCTCACCTGATAGTAATTCACCAGCTTGCATATACACTCAAGTACACACACACACACACACACACACACACACACACACATGCACTAAATAGGGGAATCTTTTCAGCTTTTGCACACCTGTTGCCATGGAGATTGCCATTGCTGCCCATGCCGAGTGAAGGAACATCAAAAGAAAATGCTCCATTAAACAAACACACTCACACAGACACACACATACACACACAAACAGACACACACAGACTCACACACTCACACAGACACACACACATACACACAAACAAACAGATACACACACTCACACAGACACACACACATACACACAAACAAACAGACACACATAGACACACACACACACACACACACACACTTGTGTAGATGCACAGCTGCTCAAGGCCCCCAGAAGAAGAGACAAACAGAAGCAGCCACTTTAAACTTACTCCACTGAAGGGTGACAGTGTCACTGAGCAGGGAGGAAGCCAGTAATATTCATCATATAGGAGTCATCAGCAGAGCTAAAATGCACATTTGAGGTTAGATGAGACACGGTTAGTACCTTGAGTGACAATGTTATTGGTTTTTAATGCTCTTGCGGGTCACTTACATTTGCGGCAGCCGCATGACTGGTGCTATTTCGGTAATACTTAACATATTTACTTTTCAACATTCTACCTGGCTCCTGTTGATTATTTATGAATGAACTCTGAGACGGATTGATGCCAGCTTCTTGTCTTTTATTCTTGTATTCTGTTATACTAAATAGTACGGACCACTCTGGTGTCACATGTGAAAATTGTTGCCACATATTTTTGGTTATATTGTATGACAACAAACCCATCGCAACATGCTGTTGTAACCTGAATGCTTTGTACCATTACTGCCGTTCATAAGCCCCGCCTCCACCCCAGCATCCACCTGGATCTCTGTTCAGGGGGGAATTATTATCACCATTCCCAAATCCCTGCCGTGCTGAGCTTTGTTTATCATCGTGGTGAGCGACGAGGAAGGAGCCTAAACACCAAACATCAGCTGTAGGTATTCTGCATTCATACGATACTTCACATGGTAGTTGGGCGACTGCAAGGTTTATAATGCTTGGAGGTAGTACTAAATATTTTGCTTCTACCTTTTGCTCGTCGGTGTGCTGATTGTTCATTCTTGTATTTTTATAGTTAGGCTTTCCAAGCCAACTTTTGTTCCACTCGTTGCCATGGCATTTTTTAATCTAGAATTCTGTTTTGTGCCTAAAAATGTACAGAAAAAATGTAGAGTACAGCTCGGCCTATCGCAGAAATATCAGTCTCTTCAGCACTACAAGACAGAGTGCATTGTGTTATGTGTGTGTGTGTGTGTGTGTCTAGTGCACACACACCTGGTCAAATGGTGTTTTGGGGGATTTTGTAGCTCCATCCATCCCTCAGAACACACAGCGCTGTTTAAGTTCATTCAGAGAGCTATCTTTTATAATAGCTCTGCTCAATCTGCATTATTCCCTCAAATAGCTTCAAAGTCAAGGATAGACTTGTTTTTAACTGAGTCATAGCATCCGGACTCATTTGTAATGCAAGAGGCACAGTGAAGGGACCTCTGTGAGGGTCTGGGATTGTAGACCTCGTGTTGAGACAGGACTAGACTGTAACTTTACATCATTATATAACCCGGTTGTTTCCTGGGTTGAGCCCCCTCTGTTCTCAATTAACCTGCAGATGCATCTGAGATTACTCCCTGCAAGGAACACTTCCATTTATCCACTTCTAAGCCGCCCCATTACATCTAGTCATTAAACTAGATTATTTTTCCGTTAATTCAAATTTGAGTTGAAATTGAATTGAATGATTCATCAAAAAAGTCGAATTTATACGCATGCCCCCGCTGAGGTTGTAGCATGTACTGTATGACACCATGTCATGAGCACCGACCGTCAATGCCAGATGTGCACAGAGCTGTTCACATTTTTCATAGATTATCTAAATTGAGCCAGTGAAGCCACAGGAGGTTTGACCCTGGCATACTCACCCACACACACACACACACACACACACGGACATCTGCAGTTGATCCCCCCCAAAGCAGCATTTAATCAGGTTTGTGCTCACGCACAGACACAAACACACACACACACACACACACACACACACACACACACACACACACA